CTTACTTACTTACTTACTTACTTACTGTGTAAAGGGTTGAAGGACAGGTCGAGCTCACGCGAATTTGGAGAATGGGGCAGTGACTCAGAGATAAAAGCAGCACACTTTGCTGCTATATTGATGTTGATAAGTATTAAACTGTAGAGATTGTCAGTAAAATTAATTCCGTTAATCGCGCTCTCAATCAATTGACCTTCAAAGGCTTCCTCCTCCTCTTCCTCCCACTTCCCCCGTATGCTAATTTTGTCCTTGTCCGCTTGGTGACTTCCTCTTTCCACCTTGTAAAAATAAGTACTGTAACTAAACATGTTGTCCATCAGTTAAAATATCTTTAAGAAAACAAAACCAAATAGAAAAAGTTTACATAGCCACATAGCGTTTGGGACCGACGGAACATGCCATCACAAGTGGTTTAAACTACCGATATTTGAATACTGAGTCCTAACCTTGACTGGAAAGCTCTTTGATCAAATCAGTGTCGCTGTAGAGGTTAGACAAATGCAGAGCAGAGATTAATTTAACACGTGTGTGATTTTCCTTACCTCGGCCGAAAAAATTCTAAAGGAACCTGTAGTCTAAAACAGTCTGATGAGCGCAGCTTCCTTCGTATAGGGAATCGTTGTAAGTTCAGATATGTTGGCCACTGTTTAAAATAAATCGCTTTAAAGGTCAACTTCAGCGAATTAAAACCCCTTCTTTCCTCCACAGGAAGCTAATTTAGCTTTAAAATGTCTCCAATGTTATTGACATATCTGCCATAAACAAAACTTGCCGTAGTCGCCACAGTCAAAATGAGAGAAATTCTCATTTTTGTGCAATATAGAAAAGTTTGTTCCTCCGCGACACTTAACTGGAACACAGTTAAAACCTTTTTGGAACAACAACAAAAAAATCTGGAATGAACTAACAAATACAAAATTAGCCAATCAGCAAACTTTAATTACTTATAAGTAATTATCGTTGTTGGGATGATACGCCTCCTGTAACTGCACAATTTGCTTTTGAAGAAACCTCTTTTTTTCAGAAGAGGCTTTCTAACAGTATATATCTTATCCTAAGGTAATGGAGAAGACTGAGTTTTCTACCCATGGTGTCAAGGCTGCGCATTCGCAGAGACTTGATCGAGGATCGGTGCGCCGAGGTCCACCTCCGCGCACTGTTACGTCATAATTCCATATTCAGAGTGAAATAAGAACATTGTTAATGACGGTATATGGTTTTGTAAAGTCTCAGCAGGTTCTTCTATTGAAATACTTCTTAACACTGGGAAGTCTTGATTCCAAACTCAGAGTTAAGCTTAATTATAATTACTTCAATAGTCGAGTCTGTTCCTTCGATGGTGGTACAACCTTGTAATGCAAAACCTTGCTGTGTCAATAGCAACAGAGTTATCTTTCAGACACTTTCAAGTGAAACAATTTGATTTATTTTACAAGAAAATTAGTCCATTGAGTTTCAATTTTCTTTTCTTAGTATCGTATGTATAAAAAAAAGACTACTTTTTTGGTCAACATGTGAATCAACGAACGAATTTTGTCAGGGAAAGAAAGCAATCGTCGTTGGTCACTTTAAACCATAGGGAGATGATGAAGTCAGAGGCAATGTTACTCTCCATATCGAAAATAAAACTTGCTAAACCCTGACAAGGAAGGCAAATACAACAAAATAGAAAAATGGATAAAAGAAAAGTGATACTGACCTTCAAGGACAATTTAAAAAGCAGTTATTTGAGCTCTCATCCACCGAAATCAGTGAGGATGCCGAACAAAGACCAAAACGTAAAAATAAAAGTTATTTTTAAGGTTTTGGTGTACTCTGTAGACATTCAGAGGATCACGTGTAAGGCGGTGTAATGTGACTAAACGATTACAGCTCGANTACCTCTGAACCTTGCTCCGTTTTCTTTCAGCTCAACCTTTGTAAGAGGTAGACAAAAAAGGCAACAACATTAGCCGCAGCACCAATTATGTGTAACGCTCAGCTTACATAATCTCACACAAGATAAATATTTAAAGCACCCCACTTTTCCCGGGCCAAGTATTTCGGAGACTCAAGTTTTCTTAGCAATGGCATAGCTGTTTTGCCCACGTACTGTAACAATCAACTCACACTTTCTCAAACGTGATAAATATTTGAAGATTTTTTATCCATATAAAATGGAATGTATATATATTGGGTTTTTTAATTCAAATAGCTACAGGAGAGTTAGCTGGTGAAATTATGTTTTACAATGGGTAAATTTTCTCATAACAAGCAAACAAGTGACTAGATGAGTGAAAGTCAAACAACTCTAGATATTTGTTTTTGATGCTTCACTTTTCAATTCAAATAGCTACAGGTGAGTTAGCTGGTGAAATTATGTTTTACAATGGGTAAATGTTCTCCTAACAACCAAATAAGCGAGTAGATGAGCGAAAGTCAAACAACTCTAGATATTTGTTTTTGATGCTTCACTTTTCGCCCTGTAGTCTTCTTCTTCACGTTTGTAAAAGCAGAGCTTTTCTTTCAATACAACCTTTGCAATAGTTTCTTCACCTCTATTGACTCTTGAAGTTTCAGAAGTTTCTAGTTTCTTAAGTTTTGAGATTACAAGGAAGATGTACCATTTCCGCATTCCTTGAAGAAAAAAGAACGCACCACACAAGACAAGACAGAAGACAAGACAAGACAGAAGACAAGACAAGACAGAAGACAAGACAAGACAGAAGACAAGACAAGACAGAAGACAAGACATGGCCGCTTGGGGATACGAATTTTATCTTCTCGTGCTGAAAGTATCTCTCACGAGTTCGCTGCGCTCACTCGTGAGAGATGCTTTCAGCACTCGAAGATAAAATTCGTATCCCCGCGCGGCCATGTAATATCCTCTATTTAACATGAAAACCGGAATTTAACATTTTGTATAAGTTGTTACCACTCGAAAAAGTAACTTATTTAAGGACCAGCCATCATTTATCATCTGGGTTGGAGGAGGGGGGTCGTATGATTTTGGTTTTGTCACAATAACATTTACTGTTTGCACTAGAGGGCCCTGCAGTAACCTAAACAACACCCCCCTCGTTAGCAGTCCATTTTCTTTATCGCCCGCTTTAAACTCTTTTAGAGACGACTGATTCCACCCCCCTCCCCCTCAGA